TTGCGTGCGAGAGATTCGAGCTGTCTTGTAGGGAATGGGATCTGTTGAAACCAAATTATGGAAGGCAGTTGAGGTGGTGGATGAGCCCTTTATTACTAGTGTGGAAGTAAATTTTGATTCTGTTATATCTCCAGTCCATTCTTTGTTATTGAAAGCAGTTGAAAAGCCGGTTGAGCCACAGTTAATAGCTATATCCCCTGTGAGGTAATTATCTGCCGAAAGAACTGCTAAGGTGCAAAGAAGAGGGTAAAGGAAGAAGAAGGCGAGATATACCATTTGGTGTAAACAGGAGGGAGGGGATGCTGATGACATGTTTGGTATAGAAATGGATGGCGCTAAAGGAGGAACAAAAAGTTCAAATTTTTCCAGTCTTCTCTGCTAAAGCAAGGCAACACGCAGTTTGATATGTCAAATTCAATTCTCCCTACAATTGCCTGGTAACCAAGGATGCTTTCATGTTCCCTCAAAATGAAAACTTTTCGAAGACTAATATATAGACTAAGGATGCTTTATTTTGAAAATACTAATTGCTAGGTGTGTTCTTGAAGCTTTTTACCGTTTCAAGTCAATATATAGATGTAAACAGCAGTCAATTTGTTCCTTCTCTAGAAATGGGTTATTAAAAAGATTACGGAACTTTAAAAATTTAGTATTCTGGTCACTGTTTATATTGAGTACTAAACTTTTTTCCACGTGGCCCTTATTTGATTCCCATTTTTTTTTTTCAAAATACAATTTTTTCTCTTCTTTTCAACTACACATTTTTCAATATAATAATATTACATACAATCCAAAAACTTTTCATTTATTTTTAACCACACATTTTTATCAATTTATTATTCCAAAATACATTCTACACAAAAAATAAAGTTCAAACAGACCCTTATTTTCTTGCTTTCATATTACATCCTATTGAAAACATTCTATATGTAGTTGTATACCTTCATGTTATCATCGAGAAGAAATCTAAAGATAGATTTACAAATATAAGGGAAATTGACATAAAATGTCTATGACCCTTGTGTGTGCATGTGGTCTCTAATCTACTTTTCTCGTGCTGACTATCTCAACCTATTTTGTTGTGTGCAAAAAGTCCTTTTGGATGATTTACATTCATTCTTGCCTTCAAAAGTACGCTCATGTTCGGTGAAAATTAAAATAAGATTTTTAGTAGATTTTTATAAAAGTTGATAAAATGTGAAGTTGAAAAGTTCCAATTCCACGAAATTGGTGGTTAAAATTAATTATTAACATTTGATTTAAATTAAAATTTAGATTTTAATCCCTACCAAACACTGACTATATCTATTTTAATTAAAAAAAAAAAAACATAATAATGTTTATCCATTAAGCTCTTATTTGATCTCCATTTCTTAAAATTCATATTTTTTTCAAACTCTTTTTCAATCATACATTTCATAGGATTCACTTGGAAGACCATTTACACAAAATATCTTATTTATAGTATTTCATTTGTAATCATAGTCAAAATTTCTTATACGAAAGAGACACAAAGATGCATATTAGAGAGAGAGAGAGAGAGAGAGAGAGAATACGGTGGTGTTAGTACCATTCTCCCACTTCCGATGTTAGTTTCAATTTTTTAATGTTTATAAAGTAACAATTCGAGCAATTCTATTTTGTTGGTATCATTTCATCGTAATAAAAGAATTAGTACTAAATTCAACGGAAACAACACTACAAAACAATACATCAATATGGACATCTTAAGATCAACATCATGTGAAATCCACCTTTCAAAATATATATTATATTATAATACACCATATAAATAGAAAATCAGGACTTCATCTCTTCATAGATATTTGTAACAGTCTTGTCATAAAATTATTGATATTTAAAATGTTAATTTTTTTAAAAAAATAATAAGAAAAACACATTACAAAATATTGTTGATATTTCATCGAAATTTAAAAAAAAAATAAATAAAAGATAAAAATGTTGAGGACTTCTCTGAACCCTTAGGGCTAAGCAATTACCTCAAATTAATTATCGCTTCACTGAGCTTTACCAACAAAAGAAAAATGGAATTTAAAATTGTCTTATTTTCAATAATTTTGGAATTGACTATATACAAGTATTATAGAGATTTTAATAGTTTAATACGGGGATTAATTTTCTCGATTATAAACACACTTGAATTATGGGGGACAATAATATTCTGAAAATTGTTCGGTTATGACAATTGTAAGGATAATTTTGTCCTAACCTTTCATTTGTTGCAATGTGGGTTCCATCTTTTCATTCTAATGTGACGAATTCATTCTCGTGTGACCAAAGGACCAGGCAAAATGACTTTGGTCATATTTTCATCAATTTCAAGAAGGGTAAAATTGCAACTTTATATTTTTCACATAAAATATTTAAAAGAAAATAAACAAAAAAAAAAAATTATTCATCTTCTTCCCCATCTCACCCTAGCCCACCCAACCCCATCCAAACTCAACCACAACCAAACAAACAGCCCCACCTGCCACCGCCCCCTTCAGCAGGGGATGACCCAAGGGGGCCCTGGGGGATCATGTGCCCCAATTTTTGAGAATTTTTTTTTTTTTTTTTATAAAGTCACGTTTGGTTTCGATTGAAATCTAAATTTTAATATAAATCAAAATTAAAATGTCATATTTTATGAAATCCATAACTATTTACCTTTTATCAAAATTTTCTAAAAAATTAATTTTAATATCCACAAAATAAGGGCAAAATCACAATAAATTTGAATTTCGATAATATGATAATTTCAAAAAAAATTCTACGATCGTACGCTAATTGAATCTACTAATAACTTATGTCATCTCAAAACTTATTTCTAAAACTATATTATGGGTATATCGAATA